AAAACAAAAACCCTATCTACACTAGAGGCATCAAGCTCAATCAGGTAATTAACTGGGTGGGGGCACTAAAAACCACAGAGGACCCCCAGGAGACAACTTCAATAGTGTAACAGGCAAATTGAAGCAAATTCTAGATCCACAGAAAAGAGCAATTTGTACCAATCACCTCATCCACACTGGACAGCCGGGCGGGGCAGGTGGGGCTGGGCCCAGCAGTTGGGCAGGCACCTGGCGGGCAGAGCCTCACCCACCCCAGCATCATGGAAACTGCTCTCTGGTGCAAGAAAATCAAGAGGAGGCTCTCAGACGGTAGAGAAAGGAACCTGGAAATCATTAACTGAACTGTGAACCCCCGAGGCAGAGAGAGCAGCCGTCCAAGGGCGGCTGTGAGCAAAATCCAGGACCACATGACAGGACGCCAGCCCCACACTGTGGGGGTCCCCATGCCTGGGTTCCAATCACTCACACGCTGAGCCCAACCAGGCGGAAGCCCTTCCTGACTCCACCTCAGGTCTCAGTGTCCCAGGAGCTGTCATCAGCTGCCCAGATCCCACCTGGAACGAAGGTTCTCCATGTTCTCCCCCCACCCCGAGAGCCCAAGGCCGCGGCAGCAGGTCCCCACTGCCAGCCGGTGCTCCGGAAAACACAGAGCGCAGCTTGGCGCAGTGAGCCGCATGGAGGCAACCCACAGGGTTTACCTTGTTTTCACAGTTTAAAGAGCTTTATAAATTGAGACAAAATCCACTAGGGTCAGGCGAGCTGGGCGACACTTATTGCATACAAGAATGTTAAAAAAAAAAAAATCACAGTTTTGATAGTTCTGCAAAAAAAAACTTAGCAAATTTACAACAAAACTGTCAAGTAATTAAGGCAAGGCACTTCACACATGAACTTAAACTGCTAATTAAAATCCCCTCGCTTAATTGACTACATTTGCATATCATTCAACTTGGGAGTATAATTTTTTTAATGGTTTGGGCAACATGGTTGTAACGCTGGGAAGCCGGGAGCAGCAGGTGAGGCGGAGCAAGGATACTGCCAACAGCACCCAAGCACCAGGCAGGCACCAGGGCAAATCAGGCAGAGCGAGTCCCCTCCTCCCTCCAGGTCCACGAGCGTCCAGGGAGGGAGCAGCTATGGAGGTCCCAGGCGTCCCCGCTCTAGGCCCCTCCCCAGGAGGGCAGGCCCAGCCCAGGCGCACAATGCCCACAGGGAGGGCGGACAGCAGGCCCTCCCTCAACCCCCGCCAACACAGAGCCCCCGCCATGGCCAGGCCTGCTGGCAGCACAGGCTCTGGACACGTCCCTCGTCGGTTACTGCTAGTCCGAGGGACGTGTGGCAGCAGCACAGGTGGGCACGGTGTCCTCGAGAGGCGCACACCCCCCAGCACAGGAGCACACATGCGCCATCCACATGGCTGGCTGCCCCGCCTGTCCGGCGTGCTCCTCCTCCCTCAGACCAGGGCTCAGAGTCCAGACCCCGAGCTCACCTTCAACAAACAAACAGGAGTCCCTCACCACTTCCAGAGAGGAAGGCTCCAGGCTGGTAGTGCCATGGGCAGCTGCCACCCTCAGGCATCAGGGATGGGTGTGGCAGGGAAGCACCTGTGTCCAGGGGCCCCACCAGCACCGTGGAGAACCTGGCAGGGCCACCCACATCCCAGGGCAGCACAGAGACAGCATGTATGGGCAGTGGCAGCTGTGACCATGTCCACTGCCATGCAGAGATGGCCGGCCAGGGAGCCAGGCAGGGAGGCACAAGGACAAGCTGCTTTCCAAGAGCAGTTCTGATTCTCCGAGTCTAAGTCTCTCAAACAAACCTGAGGCCAGCAGGCAACGCAAGGGGCCCAGGGATGACCACTCCCCAACTGCCCTGCAGCCACAGCAGGCAGGGACCACAAGGCTAGCCCCAGCACAGCACCTGGCAGAGAAGCCCGATACCACACACGGGCACCAGAAGGGCTGCCCCGAGACATACTGAAGATCAGCCTCTGGCTGCAGATCAGCTCCTTAAACAACCCGTCCCAGGTAGGGTACAACAGGCCAAACTCTGACAAGGCACAGACCTCCAGGGACCTCATGGGTGGAGCTCAGCTCAGCGCAGGGCTTGACTTAGGAAGGGGAAGGGCCACTCCACAGTCTAGTCGGCACCCTGGCCCTCAGGTCAGCGCACAAGTCCCCACGCAGACACCCCTGCCTCTGCAGACCCTGGCTGTAACCATCATGACAAGACTGATCCTCTGATGAGGGCAACAGCGTCAGGTACCCTCACCAGAGCCGGCCTCCCCCACCACCCGTGCCCGCCTGAGGCCACCAGCCTGAGGCACCGCAATTCTCTAACTCGGGAAACGTAGGGAGCCACAGAGTCCTTTCAAGTAAGCAAATGCAACTTATTCACAGAGGATCCCAGAGCCCAGCACCCCATTCCTGGCCTCTGCACCTAAAAGTTGCTGTCGTTGCCTTGGCCAGGTGTCTGCCTCTGACCGGGGACCCACTGCGCAGCCCTCCACACCAGAGCTGCCCACCCCAGTGGAAGCCGTGTCAGAGGCCCCTCCAGGCAGGCCAAGAGCTGGGCACAACAGCTCTCACCGCCACCAGTCAAAGGTAACATTCCAGCGCTTTCTGAGCACTCCTACGTGGACCCAGGGTAGAAACATCCCCAAATCACATCTGAGTGAACCACTTTCTCCAAAATATAAAATGGGGCGAGAAAAGAGTGACATGTGACAAAGTTTCCCAACTCCACTCCTAAAAGTGTCCACGTTTCCCTTTTCTAGCCAGAGAACAGCTGCCGGTGAGCCTTGACAGCCAGTGATCTCCACGGAGCCACTGGGGAGGATTTACTGGGGCCTCAGCCGTGACCACAACCCACACCTGATCCCCAGGGCCAGGCCCAGCCCGGCCCGACGGTCACACCTGTAGCTGCAAAGACAATGAGCCGGAGCTTCATCTGCATCTTTGTAAGACACAAATGCCAAATGTCAAGACAGAACCTCAGCTATTTCCCAGGTTCCTTCCAGTCCTTTCCTGACGCCCCTTATCTGTCTCCACCCAAACAAGACAAAGATCACCCAAAAAAACAGGAATTCCAGCAAAGGCCAGAGCAGGATACGGGGCAGTATGGGTGCTCCGGCCACTCCGTCCTTCCAGATGTTAGCAGTATCCCCACAACCTCGTTTAAAGTCCACACCCAAATGTCCTTTTAGTACATAAGCAGACTCCAGTGGTGGTGCGACCCAGAGCTGGAGGCCCCTGGGAAAACATGAAGCACTGAAGGGAGGTGTGCCCTCTGGAACCGGACTCACAGATGCTGTGCTGGGAGCTGTCACTCACTGCCCCCCCCAGCCACAATGTGCCAGGCACTTCGGGAGGGTGACCCAAGGTAGCCTCAACAGACGGCAAGGCGCCAGCACGGCCCCAGGTCTCCAGAGGATCAACCAAGCCCCTGAGGGGTGACATGGGGCAGATCTAGGCAAGGCTCACCCACGTAAGAGGGTGGCTTCATGGCCTCCACGGCCCCATGTGGCCCCCAGGGACACCATCTGTGGCTGTGCCAGACACTGACTGGAACCCACTTCTGACCACGCAGGTGGCAGCCAGGGCAGGAAGGGGCTGACCCCCAGGTGTGAACAGCCAGTCTCCAGGGGCTCCCTCCACGACCTCACACCCTACCCCGGGGCCCGGCAGTCAGGAGGGGCATTTTCCTTCTTTCTCAGTTCTCCCAGATCTTAAGGAAATAATTCAGCCTCTGTATTTTGACTCAAAACAAAGAAACTTTTTAAAACATTTCAGTTGAAACTTGCATAATTCTTCCAGTGGAGAAATCCTCCCTAAACTTTCGCAATCCTTAGAAAGAGACACATTATTGCCACAGAGAGCCCAGCCGGCGGTGGACACCTCCTGCCAGACGGCCAGGGCGAGGACCCGGCCACGCCACCTCCTCCCGGAGGCCCCGCCAGGGTGGCGCAGCCCCAACCTGGGCTCTAGGCAAAGCTCGGGTCACACTTAACCCAGACTTCCTCACGAGCAATGTCCTGTCTGCCCTTCCCCGCATTTCAGACAGACGTTACACAAACCAGCTGCAGGGGAGGTTGAGAAACAAGACGCCAGGGAGTCAATGATCTTACTCTCCACAGCTCCACACCGACAAGGGGACTCGGGGCAGGGGTGAAGACCACTCAATGACCCTGCTGCCCTGGAAGGCAAGGGAGGGAGCCAGCCCAGTTCTCAGACGGGTCCCAGACCCATGGACAGAGGAGCCAACCGACCATACACGGAGAATGACCTATGTGAGGCTCTGCTCCCTACAGAAGCCTCCGGCGGGCACCCGGCAGGAGGGGCGGGGCTGGTGGGCACTGGGGACCCTCACACCCTCCCTGGCTGCAAGGGGCAGGCAGGGGGTAGGAGCCAGAGCCCACACTTGAACCTCAGCTTCCCCACTTGAGAAGACCCTGCCAGCCTTCCTCCTGGAACCCTTACCCAGCAGGGGGGACAGGAGGGAGCAGACAGACTAGACTAAAGGCCCATCCAGGGGCTGAGAAGTCACCACGGCATCCTGGGAAACCTGGAGCAGGACACACAGTGAGCACCTCTTCAGAAGGAAGCCAGTGGACAAAGGGTCAGATGACCCTCCGTAGCACTCCCAGACTGTGGGCGTCTGTTGAGCACAGCCCCAGATGCCACGCCAGCTGCTGTCTTGAAGGGGGGGGTCCCAGAAAAAGCAAGTCACCTCCAGCTCCTGATGCTGTCCCTTCCTGTGGTCATTCCGGCTTAAAAGAGCAAAATCCAACTTATTCAGAGCATCCCAAAGCCCAGCAACCCCTTCCTGGCCTCTGCACCTAAAAGCTGTTGCCGCTGCCCTGGCCAGCTGTCTGCCTCTGATCAGGGAACCGCCAGGTGGATGACACACAGTGCAGCCCTCCACAGTTTCCAAACCAAGCAACCATCAGCCCACAGCCCCCTAAAAGGCACCTCCACCCACACAGAAAACAGCAATTCTACCTGAAAGATCCCTGAGAACCTGGGCGTCTGAAGGAGAGAGAAACAGCCATGTGAAGCAACCCACCCCCACTCCCCAATCAAAGAATGTCCACGACCAAGAGCAGCAGTTAAAAGGAGCCCCCGTTTCTGGAACACGCAGCGGCCTACTGTCGCCGTCGGAGGCACCACCTCGTCGTCAGTCTGAAAGAGAAGCACTTGGTTGCCCGGCGAGATGTCCTGCGGGACAAGGAGCCGCGTCCCAGGCGGCGGGCCAAGTGGCAGCGCACACGGCCACATTGTCTCCCTTTCTGAGAGCAGTCCCTGACCACAAGAGGACCAAGTCCCGTGTAGTCCAGAGCTAGCAGACAACCCCAGAGACAGGGACAGAGGCCCCCACCGCAGAGACGACGGGTGGGCGCGGGGAATGCTCAGAGGCGCCTCTTTTCCACGCGTTCCCAGCAGCAAAACCACCCGTCCATACCCTGCCTGTGACACTTGACACACAAAGACCCAAGCTCAACGAGGCACCAGTCTCCAGTTTATACATGAGGAGACTGAGGCAGACAGAGACTGAGCAACTCATTCAAGGCCACAAAGCCAGCAAGGGACAGAGTGGGGAAGTGAGACCAACCCCACCTGCCCAGGACAGCAGCCACAGGGGTCCTGAGAGGTCACTTGCCAGGCACCTAAGCCATACCACAGGAGGGAAGCAGGGTCTGACGGCCACCAAACGAGCAGGACAGATCCTCTGCCCCTGTGATCAGGGCAACACCAAGAACGACTGCCAGCCCTTCACGTTGCCACAGCACCGTTGACACGCCAGGGCCTCCGGCCTGGCTGCCTGCCCACAGGGTTTCCGGGGCTAGAAGCCGGAGCCCCGCCTCCTGCTTGGTTCCACACTAGGGCGACCACAGGAACCACGACCCCACCGTGGCCAGGCCATGGGCAAAGCAGGGTGGGCAGAGGTAATCAGGGTGCCAGGGACCCTGGGGAGGTCACCGAGAAGCACGGACCCCATCCCACTCTGACAGGAGACTGCGCCCACGCCCTGCCATAGCACCCGGAAGATGTTCCAGCTGCCCCGCTTAGCACAACCCAGAGGCCTGCTGGGAGCAGCAAGCCCCTGCAAACAGAGTTCCAGTACATTCTTTGTTCCTTCTGCCCTCATCCTCGGCAGATCAAAAATATTAAAATAAGCTACAAAGGAAGTGAAGAAATCAAAACATATCCCGAGAATGAGCTGTCAAGAAGCGAATGGGAGGAGCCCACCGGGACTAACAGGGGCTGGGGGCTTCCCGGCCACTCCCTCTAGGACAAGGGGTCGGCCAGCCATGGGTCCACACCCACCTTGACGCTGACACTTCTGCCCACGTGGCGCCCTGTGCGTACACAGACAAGCACATGGCGGTCTGGGGGAGATTCAAAGGGACAATGCTGCCCAGAACTCCCAAACGCACAGTGACAGAGCTGTGGGAGCAGTCCCTGCCCACCACACTATGCCGAGACCATGGGGCACGCAGGGCGAGTGCCCCAAGGGAAGGACAAGGCCATCCTCAGTCCCTGGTCAGGAAGGACTCAGGAGCTGGCGAATACACAGGGACCAGGCCGAGGCCATCACTGCCAGGGCAGGGCTCACTTGCCCCTGGGGCCTGGAGACCCCAATCACTTGCACTTAGCACACCTCATCATGGCGGACAACTGTGTTTTAATCAGCAAGTGAGACTTCAGAGCAGCACCAAGGAGGGCATCAAAAGAGAAAGGCAGCCCAGACCTTCGGCTGAAATGACCAGGACAAGGCTGTCGGCCCGGCTCCGTGACCAGGGCTCAGGGCACCAAGGGGCCTCCTCCCAGAGCAGCGCATGGGCCAGGCCTTCCCTGAGCCCAAGGGCCCTCGCACCCAGATCACACGACCTGCTCCAAGGGGGGAGAAGCCAGGTGATCTGGGCATCACTCTGCAGCAGCTGTGACAGACAGTCCTGGCAGCCACTCCGCCTGCCCCCAGCAAAGCCCAGGAAGACAGAAAGACCATAAACATAAACACACACACACAACCCAGAGTCCGACAAAAACAAACAGACACACCCTGCTCAGACGAGATAAGTCTGGCTGAGGCTCAGGCTCAGGCCTCAGCCGCAGGCAACCCACACCCATCTGCCTGAGCCCACCACAATCCCCACACATGCGGCTTCCTCAGGCCACAGGTGCTGGCCACGGTGCAGGCACCCCAAAGAGAAGGGCCCCCAGCTCGCAGGGAACACCACCATGCCTGCCCCAGCCCACTCTCCCACTGAATTGAGGGCCCCAGGGCTGCTGGGGTGTCTGCGGCCCCACCACCAGCATCCTCCCCCAACCCAGAAGTGGTGTGCAGACGCTGCCACCCTGGCGCTGGCCTTGCCAGGAGCAGAGACACCACTGAGCACACATGCGCGCACAAATGCACGCTCGGCAGCACCCTCCAAGCAGAGGCGACAGTCCCTCGCTTCCATCCACAGCCCCTCCTCCCCACGACTCTGACACTCCGCTGGAGGGGCGCCCAGAGAAAACCGGGCTGGAGCATCTATTCACAGATTCAGAAAAAAAAGTTTGATGCAATAGCTGAATTAATTAGGCCTCCCAAGAATAGCTGAGCCAATGCAGCATTCTGTGTGTGCAATTTAATAAGCCTGGATATTTAAAAGAAAAGTTACAAATACTTGGGGAGGTGCACAACGGAAAGTTCCTGGGGACCCCAGTGAATGATTTCCACATCCAAAGGCCTGGGAACTGCCCAAGCCGGATCCCACAGATCCTCTCACTGGCAAACAACAGAGCCCGGGCCAGCAGCCCTCCGCACCGCGCCCTTCTGCGTTTCGGAGAGGGACAGAAGGAAATGGGTGAGTCCAAAACAAATGGCAGGCATCAGAAACCCCACCACTTGGGCCTGGGTGCCACTGACCAGGCCGGAGCTGGGTGCCAAGTGGCCCTCCTTGTACAGGGGTCTCTGGGATGTGCACAAGCCCAGAGCCAAAAAGTCTTGGCCCCTGCCACTGCAGCCCGGACACCTGGCTTCGTTTTTGTGTCGGTCCCAAGACTTGAAGGCACAAAACGGGTAGCTGATGACAAGCCAGGTCCTGCCTGGCCCAAGCTGTGCTGCTGGGGACAGGGAAAGGCACTCCTCTCTCTGCAAGTCTGAGAAACTTGGGGTGAAGGCAGCAACCTTCGCCCCAACCCTGTCTGGATGCCTCACGGGGGCCCCAAAGAAGACCTGGGCCTGAGGCTCCCAGGCTAGGTCCTACTGGATCTGGCGTCCTGGAGCTCAGGGCAGGCCTCTCTCAGAGCAGGCGCACAAGGCCTGTGCCGCCCCTGAGCCTCCCCAGCCTATCTGGGTGACGGCTGTGGGCCTAGCGATGGGGGTGGGGAGGCGGGAGGGGGTGCTACCCACCAAGCTTGACCTCTCTGTGTCCTCCTCGGGGTCACCCTGGGTACCAGGCAAGAGGACCTTCCTCCCAACTGTGTGGCCCTGGCAATGGAACACTAACAATGCCCTGCATTCACTTAGCTCAAAACCAAACCCTGAGACTGGGGGTTAGGCAAAAGCACAGATCCCAGCCTTCAGAGGCCAGAGCCCATGGCCCAGTAGGGTCCCCACCCCAGGCACGGTCTCCCCAACTCATAGCCCTGGGGACACTCACCCGGGGCACCCGCCGCTTGTACTTGTTGCCATAGTCGAACTTCTCCTTCACGTCGTCCAGGCAGCGGCCGAGGCGAGCCTGCTCCTCCTTGCCCGTGTAGTCCTGGCTCAGCAGGATGTAGGCCCGCCAGTTGGCCGAGTCGAAGCCCCAGTGGCAAGTCCGGTTCTCCAGGGCCTTGTGCGAGTGCACCACGAACTTGTGCGGTGGGTACATGAGGCGGCAGTCGAGGCACTGGATGCAGGCAGCGCTCGGGCTGCTATAGAGCTCAGGCACCAGCAGCCCCTTACACTTGCCGAAGCACTCGTGGTACACGCGGACGCTGCGCTCGCTGAGCTCCAGGCCCAGCGCCAGGCTGGCGGCCAGCTCCTTCTTGCAGGGCGGCGGGTAGGCGCCACCATAGAGCAGCGCGTTGCACAGGCGCTCGGCGTCTGTCTTGGTGATGAGCCCGCACGAGGGCGCCGAGAAGGGCAGGATGCCCATGACTTTGAGGATCTCCAGCTGGTCAGCCGTGCAGCGCGAGCAGTAGATGTGAAGCTCGTCGCACACCGAGTTGATCTGCTGCAGCGAGAAGTCGCGCAGCACCGAGTTGAGGATCTGCGGCAAACACAGGCGCTTCTCGCCGCCCACCACGAAGCAAGAGATGGTCTCGCCCTCCAGCACGGTCTCACAGCGCTCGGTGGAGCGGTCGGACGGCATGAAGAAGGGCCCGGGCAGCACAGGCGGCGGCGGCTGGATGGCAGGCAGGTGCAGCACGGGCGGCGGCTCGGTGGCTGCGGGCACCGGCGCCGGCACCGTGGCCGCGCCCGCCTCCTTGGCGCTCTCCTTCTTGTAGGCCTCCTGCGCCCAGCGCGCCGAGAAGGCGGCCGGGCCTCCCAGCGAGCTCATGGAGCTCAGGTGGAACTGCTCCAGCGTCTTCTGCAGCCCCGGGTGCGGCTGAAAGCCGCCCCGGCCCCCCGCCGCCGCCTCCATGGTGCGCTCCGGCTCCCCGGGCCGCTCCCGCTCCCGCGCGCCCGGGCCCCGCGGCCCCCGCCGGCGCCCCGCGCGCCCGGCGGCGCCCGCGGCCCGGCCGGCGCCCCCGCCACCGGCTCCCGGCCGATCACGGCCGCGGCCTCGGCCTCACCCGGGCGCGAAGGGGAAGGCGGGCGGGGGCGAAGGGGTCCCGCCGCTGGAGCCCGCCGCCGCCGGGCCCGGCGCCACATCCACGCGCCCCGCGCCGCGCCCGCCGCCGCCGCCCCCGCGCGCCCCCGGCGGCGCCCCCCGGGCTCTAAGCGCGGCATGCCCCGGCGCGCGCCGCCAACGCCAACGGCCAACGCGCTCGCGGGCCCGGGGCTCGCGGGGGGCGCGCGGGCAGGTGCGGCGCCGCGAGGCGCGAATCGCCGGCGCCGAGCCGAGGGGCCCGGAGGGAGCGGGGGCGCGGGCGCGGGCCGCCGGGCCGTCCTCGCGCGGCGCGCCGCCGCGCCCGCTCCTCCACCGCGCGGCGCCCGCCCGGCTCGTCCCGGCGGCGCTGGCCGGCGCGTCGCGCCGCCGCCGCCCCGGCCCGGCCCGCCGCCCGCCGGCTCCGCGGGCCCACCCGCCGCCCGCCCGCGCGCCGGCTCCCCGGGCGGCGGAGGCGCCTCTCGCCCGCGCCCTCAGAGGCGCGGCGGCGGCGCGGGGCTCGGGGCGCTCGTGCGCACATCCTCCCGGCGGCTCGCTCCGGCTCGGACTGAGCGCCCGGCGCTGAGCTCACGCCGCCGCCGCGCCGCCCGCCCGCGCCGGCCCCGCCCCCGCGCTGTTTGTTGCCGTGCGTCCGCCTCAGCCCGAGCGCCGGCCAAGAATGTGACCCGCTCCCCGCCGCGCTCTTCCAGGAACGCGCGCTCCCCGCCCGGCCTCGGCCGCGCTCGCCTCCGCTCGGCTGGGACTCGGCTGCACTCGGCTCCGCCCACCCGCGGCTCGGCCCCGCTCGGCCCCGCTCGGCCCGCGACTCGGCTCCGCTCGGCCCCGTTCGGGCCCGCTCGGCCCTGCCCGCCCGAAGCCGCTCGGCGGAGGCGGCGGCGGCGGCGGCGGCCCCGGGCCCCCTTCCGGCCGAGGCCGCTTCCTGCGCGGCTGGGAAGGCGCCCGTCCCGCCGCCGCTGGGGCCCAGAAACCCACAGGGCCCCGCCACAACCGCAGACCAGCCGAGGGGCGGGTCCGCGCGGCGGGGAGGCCCGGCCACGGCCCCGGGGTCCTCCTAACGCCAGCTCAGCCAGGTGTCCGGGTAACCCCGGACACCTCTGGGCTCCCGCCCCCAGGGGACGCCACTGCGACCTGGGGGTCGGAGTGCGACGCCGCACGACCCACGTGGGCTGCCACTCGCGTTAGAACGGCCACGCTCAGGGACCCACCCGCGACGCAGACCCCACGCAGCATGACGGGGACCCTCTCGGGGTGCAGGAGACACCGCGGCCCGGGCCGGACGGGCAGGCTGCACGGACCACCGACCGCACGCCGTGGCTGTGCCCGCCCGCCGGCCGGCGCGGGACCCTCCTCGCCCCATAGCGAGGGCTTCCGGCCTAGGGCGGGTGGCCCTGCTGTGGCGACCTGTCCTGAGCGCCCCAGCCCGCGGGACCCTCATCCCGCAGGGCCAGGGAACCGCTTACACACCCCTCGGGTCATCCGTCCCTCCGCACACCGGCTGTGTTGTGGAAGAGGGGCAAGCCAGGAAGGGCCAGGGGCAGACCAAGGGCCCCAGAACCGCACAGTCTGGCCAGGTAGTCCCCGGAGGAGGCAGTGTTCCACGGAGGCCTGGGAATGGGGATTGAAAACCGGGAACAGCGCTAGCCATGCTCAACCTGAGGCGGAGGCACAGCCCAGCCACGCTAGGCAGTGTGCCTTTTCCCAAGGGGATAAGGCTGCCTGCCCACGTCACCTGTGGCCTGTTTCTCCCGTCCCCAGTAAAGGCTGGAACCACCAAACCAGCACTCCCGGGGCACAACTTCTGCTCTGGGGAGCTGCCAGGCAACTGTGCAGACCTTGGTGGCAGGGGCAAGTGACCCTCGCGATGGGCTTGGGAATCAGGGTGCAGGGCTCTGTGAGCCCTCCCTTTGCTGCAGGGGGTGGGTTGTCCTTGTCACCACCGTCCTGCGTCCCTCCCACTCTTCCCAGCAGAGGCCCCACCGCACAGCTTCTCTATATGCTCATATGTAAGAAAACTGGGTACAAAGATGTTTCCTTAAAATGGATATTTAAAAAACAAAGGAAAGGGACTTCTTATGTGTTTTCCTGGGGATGGTTTTGTTGGCCCACATTTTAGACCAAAAAAAAAAAACAGTTAATGTTGCACTTGCGGGAGTCACTTCCTTCCATCTGGATTTGAATTCTGTAAAACTTGGGCAAATTGTGAGCCAAAGAAGGTGGCCGCAGGGCCCAGCCTGAGGGTCTGCTGGGAAGCGTCTCCAGTCAAGCAAGGAATTCCTCCTGCTGCTCCCCAAGGTGAGCAGCAGCTCTGGGCAGGGCCTGGAACCTGGGCCCCCGGCTAGGCAGTGCCCGTCAGACGCTCTGCTGGGCCCAGGCCAGGGGCCAACACTCTCACCAAGCAGCAGAGTCCCAGAGCAGCAGCCATGCGCACTCCTAGGGTGAAGGGCCTGGGGACAGGAGAGATGGGGCGATCAGGCGTGGCGGGAGGGCCCTGAGAAGCAGGGAAGGCCTCAGGCTGGCTTCTGAAACTCCCTCTGCCTTCGGTGGACTCCAAGGCCTGCCTTCCACCCCCAAGATGTTGGGTTTCCAGAGCAGCCCACCCCTCACCCCACCAAGGTTCAGGATGGCCATGCCTAGATGGAGCCTTGAGCAGGGGCCCCCACCTGCTGGCCTTCCTCCAGCCCATCCCAGCAGCTGCTCTGGTCAGTCACGTACTCAGGCCACCATGCCAGTAGGTGGAGGGCCCAGGCTCCGGGAACAGCCCCGTCACACGGTGGGGTGCGCTGGGCATGGTGCCTGCCCAGAGGAGCCCCAGCACACAGGTGAGCACAGGGTCCCCTGCACCAGGCCACCAGCTGACTCCCTGATCCCTGCCACACTTTTGCCCCCTCACTGAATAAGCTCCTACTAGTGTAGGTGCTAAGATGGGGCTGGGGGGGAGAAACCAAGTTCTGCCCCCTGCATCCCCATCCCGTGAGAGAGTTGACAGTGCACTGTGAAGTCGGACCACCAGACAGACAGGCAGACAGGCAGCTTCCAGCTACAGACCAGCTCAGCTCCACCCTGCCCTCCTCCCTGGGAAGCAGAGGAAAAGCCCGGTGGCAGCCAGGCACAAACTGCCATTGTTAGGAATGTGTGAAGTTACTGTAAAAAAAAAAAAAAAGAAAAAAATCTTTAAATTTGAAAAAATTACTCAAGTGATATAAGCTTGTAAAAATTTAGAAAGAAATTTTGTCTTAGCTTGGGTTCTGCCAATAGTAGGCCCTCAGACAAAGACTTGCGTGAAAGTAGTTTATGTGGGAGGCGACCCCCGGGGAAAAAAAAGCCTCCTCCCTCCTCCCTGGGCCCCTGGAGCAGAGTCCGCAGGGAGCCCGGTCAGAGCCCACAGGGGTGAGGGACCTCCCAGGGGCAGGGAGATCAAGTATATTGGGGGGATCAACCAAATAAGAAAGTGTGTTACGGGTGACAAGAGCGATTTCTCACTGTCAGAGATGGGAACTTAAAATATGGCAAGGGAAAAATGAACTACGTGATGTTGGATTGAAATGATCGATACCTGTGTGATCGCACACGCATTAATATTCATAGACAAAACCACTGATGTAAATGTGTTTGTACGAACATCCCTATATCCCTGCTCTGTCCTCCGAGAGGAAGGACACCCCAACAGCAGTGAGCACACCAAGGACCCCCATCGTGGCTTCTAATCTCCACTCTCTGAAAGGAACCAGCGTTCCCTGGAGAAACCACTGACCCCCGGGCCGGAGAGAGGACGGGATGAGAAACAGGGAATGACAGAAGGTGGGAAAAGGGTGAGGAGCCGGGGGAAAGGGCCTCCCACAGGACAAACCAAACACAGGAATGACACTAACAGATGGCACTAACAGTAATGGATCATGACCATAGAATAGAACAGGTAACCGTGAGTCCGTACATGTTTTAGTATTCATTAAAGTAAACATCACGTCAGGGTCAAGTATGGTTGTTTTTTGGGTGGCAGTAACGCTTATTAAGCCCTTCTCTACAAAAAAAAAAAAACAGAAAAATTAGCTGCGTGTGATGTCTCACACCTGTGGTCCCACCTCCTTGGGAGGCTGAGGTAGGAGGATGGCTTGAGCCCAGGAGTTTGAGGCTGCAGTGAGCTATGATTGACACCCCTGCCCTCTAGCCTAGGTGACAGAGTGAGACACCATCTCAAATAAAAAAAATAAATAAATATATTAATGAGTTGAAAGTTTTAAGAGAACAATTTTCATAGTTTGAAAGTATCTCCCCATAAAATGATGATTTGTCACAAAGGGAAATAAAAGTAAGTTCCCAGTGGACGGTCTGGCCGGCACCCCCTTAACCAAGAGATCAAAGTGGGCCCCAATGGAAACCGGATCGATGGAACCCCTGCACCACCTGCAGGGGTAGGGGATGGGCAGACAGACCGAGGCAGCACATCCCAGACTTTCCTGCCAAAGAGGCACAGCTGACATCTGACTGGGACAGGCCTCAGACAAACACAGGTCTCCAAAGGCATCAGGGTCACAGTGGTTAGGGAAAGGCTGAGGAATGTTCCGGACTGAAAAGCCCAAAAAGACATGATGACAACTCAGTGTTATGTGGGTACCAGGCTGGATCTCGTCACTGCAGGGGACATTATTGGGACAATGGGAAAGCCCCAGATGCAGAGTGGATCCTAGTCGTCCCTGGCATGGTCATGTTGGGGTGCCGGCAGAGAGTGTCCTTGTTCTGGGGTGCGGCGGAGCACCGTGTTGGCAACTAACTCTCAAATGCTTCAGGGAAAACAGTTCCTGTACTATTCTTGCAACTTTTCTGTAAGCTGTAGATTGTGTCAAAATACAAATTT